AAGAAGAAACATTCCAATCACATTTTAATTTTCTCTGATTTTCTAAACTATACAATTGATCACCTAATAATATAACTATTTGTTCTAAATCAGCCAATTCATTATGTATTTCGGTGTCAATTTATTTTTGAGACACCCACAGTCTTTCAGCATTTCTATGCCATTGAGTCACAAATTTTTCAGTCTTAACAGATTTAGTGAGGGCTATTCCAGCAGTGGCTGCGGAAGCAGTGACGACTATGATCCCCAAAATTGCCACTATCAGGAAACTAATAAATCTCTTTGTCCTCTTTGTCAACCTCTGGGCAAGGTTTGCTAGGATGGAAATGGCAGGAGACTCTTCCCATGGCCTCATTATTTTCACAGGCAGCCAAACGCCAGTTCTGGCCCAGGGTAAATAGATCCTATCTTGGAGAAAATCAAATCTCATAGACACATTAAAACAAGTAAACAACCGACATTTTCCAGGACAATGGATTTCACCTGTATGTTCATTCCAAGTGATATTTCCCACTAACCAAACATAAGGAAGCTTCACACAAGCCGAAACAAAGTGTGCTTATAACATTTAGGATTATTAACCTTAAAAGCAGCTGCCATATGAGCACCAATTTGATCACCAATTAAAGCAGCTTGAAAAGATGAAGAACCAATATTTTGGCATGCCTGAATACATTTTTCAATGGAAGTAGTCTCTTCATATCTAATTGGAGCCAAAACTTTTCGGCAATCATCATTAGCATTCTCATAAGCCATTTGTAATAATAACTTTTCTTGAGCCTCAGTACCTGGAATGGTTCTGCGGATGGCTGTACGCGGTTTGGCCAAGAATTCAACATAAGGCTCATTAGGACCCTGGATAATTTTAGTAAAATATTTACCCTCCCCTGGACCTTCTAACTGGGCCCAGAATTGGAGGCAAATGTCTCTAATTTCAACTAAAACATGATCAGGGATTTCCAGCTGTTGTTCCTGTCTTCTAAATTCTCCAGTGCCTGTTAATTGATAATAAGGAAGTCCAGGATCATCGTCACTCCTAGCAATAGCCTCTTTTTTCCACCAAGAATCAAAAAGTAAATACTGGGCAGGGGATAAAGCGGTT